TTTAAATTTTTATTTACAAAATAATAAATTATTAAATTAATTTATTATTAAATATTTAATTCTAATATAATATAATTAACCAATCTCATCTTCACCATCCCTATCACTTCGGCGATCGTTCCGATCATTGCCCTACTCCGGCGAACTTTCAGGCGACTTCCGTCGAACTTTTTCGGTGACTTTTTCGATTCTGCCAATTATTTATATTATTAATTAAATATTTATTTATTTTATTAATTAAATATAATGTTGTTGCAATTATACAATTAATGGTCAAATATATATAATTAATTGGTCACAAATTATTTTTGAGGTCACAAATCAAAAAAATTATAGATCACGATTTTTTTATTGGTCACAGATCAAAAATTTTATAGGTCACGTCACTGATTATTTCGAGATCACAAATCAGGTCACATATTATTTTATTGGTCACGAATCAAAAAATTACATGTCAGAGTTATCTATCAGTAACATATTTTCAAATTTATTGGTCACAAATTAATTTTTAGTCATTTTTGATTTTTTTGTGACCACCCCCGTCATAGATTAATTTTTGTCACAATTTTAAGGTCACCACCACCGAATTCGGTGACCACCCCCGTGACCACCACCGACAACTATGACCACCCCCGTGACCACCACCTCACGAGTCATCACTTCCACCAACCACATCGTCGTCGCTGCCGCCACCACAACAATACTTCTATAACCACCCCCGACAACTGTGACCACTCTCGTGACCACTACCTCATGAGTCATCACTGCCACCAACAACATCGTCGTCGCTGCCACCACCATAACAATACACCAACTCAGATTCGACCACACCACCACACACAAAACAATACACCAACTTACCATGACCTCCAGCACCACAGCCATCACCAACAACTACAAACACAACCAAATCAAATCCACATTGGAAATCCAATCCACTTCCGCCAAGGACTGCTATTCCACCACAGCCAACCAGTGCGCTCCCTCTCAATAAAATCCCTCACAACTCCGTCACAACCAACCCACAAAGCCAAGGAAAATCCGTCTCTTCGGCAACAGGATAAGCCCAAATAATCAGGATTAAAGAATAAGCCCAAATAATCAGCAGGAAATTCTCGAGATCTAACCAGTCAGCAAAGACTAACATACGTTCTTGATAGTTACAAATCGACGAATTTCACCGCTGATAAAACCCACCAAAGCAGAGCTTGTTTTGAGATACAGTGGTGGTGGGTTTTTGAGACACCACCACCGCACCCAACCGCCGGCGAGAGAGAGAGTCCGGTGGTGATGGTGGCGAGACCACACCCAACCGCCGACAAGAGAGAGTCTGATTGTAACGGTGGCGAGAGAGGAGAACGGTGAGAGAGGAGAGAGGTAGAGAGAGAAAGTGTTTCCTCGAAATGAAGGGGGAAATGACCTGGTGAGCATGGTGGCGACGTAGTGGTGGCGGTGAGGGAGAGGAGAGGACTGAGACGGAGAGAGCGAGAGAGAAGTGAGACACGTGAATTTAGGGTTTGAATTTAAGGGGTCGGGTAGGTGTATGTATATATTAACTTTTATAATATTATTATTAATATTTAATTAAATATAAAAAATTTAAAAAAACTGTATTCACATATAAAATATCTGATTTTTTAAAGTTAAAACTTGAAATCTGATTTATGAATTTGAATCTTGAAAAAGATGGTTTTATGTAATTACCACTTCTTTCAAACCGATTGGAAACCAGTAATTTTGAAAGGTATTTTGAAAGGAAAAAGTCATAACTATTATGATTTAAGAATTCATTTTCATAAATATTAAAGAGGTGTTTGTTTGGGATTTTTGGGGGAGGAATTGATTTTTGAATAGTGATATGATGGGAAATGTGTGGTTGAAAAAGAAAAAAAAATTATTGATGTGATGGAAAATATTATTTTATTGAAAAATGTGTAGTTGAAAATGAGAATTGATTTACACCATAGGAAACTAATTTTTCGTGGAGGATGTTAAGTGCTTGTTTGGTAAGGATTTTTGGGGGAAGAATTGATTTTGAATAGTGATATGATGGGAAATGTGTGGTTGAAAAAGAAAAAAAAATTATTGATATGATGGAAAATATTATTTTATTGAAAAATGTGAGGTTGAAAATGAAAATTGATTTACTGTTGAATTTGAGAATCACAAACAAACAAACTCTAAATCAGTAGAATTATTTGAAAAAAATCAAGTGATAAATAAATATTATTTCACTGTCACTATCACTGCTCTCTTAAAAGAGAGAATAGCCAACTCACTGTTCATATGTGCACTCCCATTTTCACACTTAACTAGGTATGTATTATTCATAAACTAGTTCAGCATTGTTCACCAGTAAATATCTCTTCTATAAGTGGGGTACTTTTCAATTTGCCCAAGTCAAACATGCCATTTTCCATTTTGCCCAAAAATTCTTACCATTCACCACAATAGCCTTCCAAGGTTAAAAAGTCGAAATGACCCTTAAGATGTTAAATAAATTACAAAAAATGGAATTATTTAAAAGACAATAATACACTTTTTTAAGTTATAAAAAATTCCAACACTTTCCACTTAAAATTTCGAAACCACTTTCTTTATCTGTTTACTCCAACACAGATAAAAATTGTTTCGTTTTTCCTCTACTTCAAACTTGAAAACAGATAAATTTATCAAACGCTTAATAA